AGACGCGTCTGCTGTGGTTCCCGATTTGTCTTCCCAACAGGCGTTTGTAGCCTCCAACTTGCTTACTTTTCGACCAACGCCAATGAGGCATATACTTATCACCAGCCAATCGATCGGGATGAAACAGAGTAAGAAAAATTACGGCATTCTGTCGGGAATAAGACGGCAGAAGGCCGAGACGTACGCGTACCGATGACGTTTACTTGAATTAGCACGCGTCCAGGAAGTCCGCGTTAAGCAATTATTGGCTGTTATTAAAATGCTTTTAGGCGTCATTAATTTTTTCAAATGAAATTTTATTAGCATATAGAAGAAGGTTAATGTTAACACCCCACATCAGATAAATAGACAATTAAAAAGCAACCGACTGAGAGGGAACAATCCCTGTAACCTTTCTCCAGTTCGGAGCCGAAGTTAATTATTTTTCCAGAGCTAGATGCTCGCCAACTGAAAAGACGGGAGTGGTAGGTGGATTTAGCGAAAGAAGTAGCACTCCTACACATGCGACTTCAAAAGATGACGTCAGCCTAACAACACTACATCATGAGTAGTTCAGGCAAAACTTCAAAAACGCCTATTGCTAGTGGTTCGAAAGAATAAAACGTACTGCGTTTCAATTCGCGTTCTACTGACGAAGACCACGGCGGACTGGGAATATATTTCTCGCCCCGTTGTCGTTGTTAGCCAGTTATACCCGAAACCACGAACAGTAACACATCGGAGTTACATCCGACTGCAGCTGGCTGTTGGGTTCGACGGCCTAAGAATTAAACCGCAGGCTAGGTGGAAGGACCGCATTCGAGTAGTTAAACCCGCCAGATCGATGAATACCAAGGACGAAGTTGTGGTCGAAATAGCATACCAATGGGCTCGAGTACTACGAAAATTCTTGGCGCGAAATAGTACTGAAAAGGATGATAATATCCAACTTAGTGACGCCCCAATCCCAGGTGCTGAGAAACCTGACACCCGGCTCCGGGGTTCAATAGCCGTTGCCTCCCAATACAGGACCGTTTTCGGGTTTGAAGCTTGGATATGTCCGATCAGGGTAAGGGATGGAGCTGAACGGCTAAGGAGGAATCATAAACCGTAAACGTCCCCTTTATTTTTCCTGTCTTTTGGGGAAGGCGTAGCGCGATTAGGTCAATAAGGCAGTTATTAAAAAAGCAAACGCTATGAGGCTCTTTGGATTTTGTTGTCCCCTTTTAGCTTTTTTCGTTAATTCATTTGTCAATTTTACAGCTCCAGCTTTGGACTGCTACTTTCTTAACCTAATTGCACTCACAGAAAAGAGCACCTTCGTTTTTAGGCAAAACCAAGTTGATCGATGCCTACCAGAAAATTCCCATTTTTCTACTCCGGAGGCAACGATCTGGTTGCAGTATGAGACGTGCTCATCCTCTTTTGTCGTCGAGCGCCAGGCTAGGTCAGAAAACCATCTGTGAATGGGTTCTGGGTCGAAGGTCTATTTAGATTTAAGCATACACTTTTATAAAATTTGGAAAAGCCGCACACTGTCTTGGTCGCCCTATTCCTACGGTAAGTTAGTTTCAAAAAGTAGGGTTTTGAGGTCCAGGAATTAGGCAGCCACTATTCATTTGACCCAACTGAGAAGACCTCGGCGACCTTGGTGGATTCAAACCCATGCCGACAAGAGGAAGGCTTTAGTACAGCCAATACTCTAGCCGGCTGAGCTATGAGGCCCCCACGGGAAACCGTGAATTTAATCGCATTTGAGTCCAGGTACCTGCTCAGCCTACTGCAATGTATGGAATCCACCAATTCAAATGCAATAAGCTGGCTGTCGAAGCAGGATTTCCTAAGCAATCAATCAAGAATCCGCTAGCTGATTACCAAGCTGTACTAAAGCCTTTCCTGGCTGGCGTGGGTTCGAATCCCACCAGGCCGCCGAGCTCGAAAAAATGAAAACTTAAGTAGTGTGCATTTTGAAAATAGATTATCGAATAATTCATTTGACCCAATTGTGGAAGCGTCGGCGACCTCGGTGGCAATAAAACCTACGAAAATACCTTGGGTATGCGGCTCCTTAATTACACTTCTGCTATCCAACATCACACAATGAATCGAAGTGCAGGTGTAATTAGACGTTAAATTCAGACAAACGAACCCTAGGTCTTATGCCAGCCGAGTTGAGAATATCTATCGTTGGCAAAACAAAAGTCGGTTATCGAAATGGACTACGCATAAATAATAAGCAGACAGGAATAAAATATGATTGACTTGAGTAATAACGACCGAAGTAGCGTAAAAGAGGTAATCTAAATAAACGAGGAGGATAAAATTGAAGCTAGCAGGTTTTACACAAAAATGTCATTTTTCAGTTTATCTGACGCGAGGCCTACGGTAAACTGATAAGTATAAGTTGCCTTGAGTTGAATTTTCATTAGTTACATGATTTTCTCTTCAAATGTTCTCAACGAGGAAGCAGTAGCCCTTACATTTTAAGACCCTACACATTTTATTACATTTGTACACACGGGTAAGAGCTGAAGAGCGGCAATTTCCTAAAATTTTGACCTCGTAGTACATAGTAGGCACCATCGTTGGTCCGCCAGGCCTAAATTTCATAGGAAGTAAGTTGCTTAGAAAGAATACAGTGTACCAAGTTCCTTAGTGCTTTTTTTGCCGAGGAATATTCAAAAGCCGTAATTGGCGTTGAAGTCGCTTGGAGGAGGCCGTGTAGCTAACCTAATGCCTGTCCAGGGCACAGTCTACTTCAGACGTACAGAAAAGAAGGCCGGAGAAACACATGGGGGTCAGCCCAAAGGTAGATCAAAGCTCCTCACCAAGCAACAAGCGCAATCCTCGTGCCAGGGAGCACCCGGCATTGTGGAACACCGGCCGGCTGAGGGCTGATGATGTTCAAAGGGCAGGCTGTAAGGCGTCGGGTGGGACGTCTGACGATTGTGTGGTGGCGGTTGCAGATGAGGAGCCTGACCCAGACGGCCAGCAT